CTCTGTTAGATGGAGGAAGAGTGAAGGCAGCATGAGATGAACAAGCTCCGTATACAGATCTCTCCTACACGCTAAGCGCAACAATGCCATCACTGGGACTGCCAAATGAGTCTGCTTCCACGCCCTTGATGGAGGATCCAACTGCTTACATCTTGAAAAAGCTAGCGAAGACGCTGTTGTTGTGGACGGTTTGACTGGAACCGCACAACAGGCATTAGCGTAAAACGGACACGTTATCTGCGGCACTAAAGGGTTTCCAAGGACCCAACCATAAACCATCAAATACAAGCTTACTCGTTATTGTATTGAAGGGGTCTACTGGCTCCATTGATTGAACATGTGGATTATAATGTACAAACTTTTGAACAAGTCATTTAAAATTAGAAATGAAAATAGGATAAGTCATTTAAAGTTAGAAATGAAAATAGGATAGTTATATGTATTTAACAAACATATGCTAAGTTTTATCGTAATCAATTCACAAAGCATATGAATTAATTGCAGCCAAATGGTCTACAGCTAAAAAAAAAAAAAAGGGAGATAAGTTGTTACGTATGGAAATTTTAGGCTCTACAAATACAGAGTATCCCTTTTGTAATTCTGCCTTAATAAAAAACCCTTTTAGAAATTTGATTAAAATCAAGAATTCAAGTTGCATAGGATAGTATGAAATAAACTAGGAGGCACAATGTGTGACTTTGATGTGGCACTTGGATGAATCTGAAACTCCAGGAAGCATCTTTAGATCTCTTGTGGCTTGCGATATTATACCATCGTCCTCTACCGTAACATCCACTTGAACCAGTTCAAGGTATCCAATTCCCCAAGAAAAATCTTCAATTGTTCCAACTCTTGAGTAGTTCCTTGATAACCAAGAATACGCAATACCTTCACTTGGTTCTGAGGCATGGAGACATCGCTTGTGTAGCCATCAATCAAGAAAACGTGTGTAAATGATCAACCAGACAACCACTAAGTGTTCGTCTATATATTTATTTTGTTCATTGGTTTACCTTGATGATCAGGGTTTATATATTTTGTTCGTCTATATATTTATTTTGTTCATTACTTATATTGAATATACCTTGATGATCAGGGTTTCAAGCTTTGGAGACTGCTTAAGCATATATGGCAAGAGTTTCCAACCTCGCTTATTCTTACTCCCAAAAGAAAAATTAACCAGATTGTCGAACACGGGTAGAACTAGTCCATGTTTAACACATCGAGCAATTACCTGAAAA